TGTGTCCAGAGACATCCACAACCATCTGGCAACCACCTATCTTTAGAGAAAATAAGTATCCCCACATCAGTTAGTGAGTGGTTGCTGGATGTTGATTGTAGATGAAATCGATTGGTCAGGCTCTAGTCACATAAACATAGAGAGGTTAGCATGGAGCATGTCAGCTTGTCTCCTCTTGCTAGCTACTTCTCCAGCAATAGCACCAGTGTGCAAAGTGTCATAGAAACCAAAGTTGCGCCTTTTGAAAAATGATGGCAGCATTGAGACGCAGCTTTTACTTTCAAGTTTAACATTCTTGCTTCTGGGTTGCGTCCCACTTTTTCAAATTTTACAACTGCTTCGTGACAGTTTGCAGACAAGTGCGCTTCTTCCATCCTCCAGGCCACAGACTCTGCTTTACAGTGCACTGCATAAACCAGAAAGCACGGCAACTCTGACGCATGTAACTGAAGTCTCGCATAGTGTAGAGAGTTAATAAATGAAGGTCAAAGGCTGTCATGAATAAAATATATATATATATATATAAATCAAATGCTGGAGAATTTTTTTTTTGTACAACTGCATCTAAGATTTTTAACTTTCTTTGATAAAATAGGCCAAAAATAAATAAGCAGCACGTGAACAAAGAGAGTTTGTGAGATAAATGTTTCCAATATTTAATATAAAAAAATATCAAATTCTCGATGGATCATAGTCAGGAGGGGGCTGTGTTTTGATGTGTGCATGATTGCTACTATTAATAAATATAATGAGTCCCAGTATGGAGTATAGTACAACTTCAAATTCAGATACTACAGTTTTGGGGTACAATAAGTGGTTCTTAATGGAAAATGACAGGTCTACAGGACTGCATTTGTTGGTTTAGCGCAGACTTTCCCAAAGTGTGGAGCCCGCCACCTGGGGGGGGGGCGCAGAGCCGTTGCAGGGGGGCGCAGTATGAAGGGGGGGGGAAAAGAAAAAGCAAGGCTTGGACACTGCTAGCACGGCGCCTCCACAAACACAAAGCAGGAGATGAAGCATCGCTGAATATGTTTCCAAACCAACTTCATTCTAAGCCAAAGACTAGAAAATATGGTGAAGCGTGTTTTCCCTTTGGTTTCACCTGCACAAGTGCCAAGGTAGGTCTCCCCTGCTTAATTGGTTTTCCCTTCGTCGGGAGCAGCGCTGGGCTCTTCAAATCACGGACAAACAGGATCCCACATTCTTGATTTTTAGTTCACAAACACTTGTTGTAATGACTAACTACTCCTGACATTTTGGAGATGTTAGCTCTTTGTACAGTAAAGTTACAGCGGGATACGAATAATATCAGGCTGATCCTGCCACGATTTGTTCCCCGGTTCAAATCACGGACAAACAGGATCCCACAGCTGTTTAGTTTTTTAAAGCCATTTTGCACAGAGAGGCATTTTTTTTGAAAAATTTATTGATAGCAATGTTGAATATTATTACACAGGAAAAAAAAAAACAACTACACCTAAAATAATCACACCGTGACGCCTCTGCCTTTCTAAATGGAGGGACAGTAACTGCGTGTATATATGTAAGCGTGTAAAACCTGCAGATAGAGACAAAATAGAAAACAAAATAAGATAGAGACAGAATCTGCAATTCATCTCATGTAAACAATAACGTGGCGCAAACGTAATACAAAAGGGGGCTAGCAAAAAAAGTTTGGGAACCACTGGTTTAGCATAACATGCAATCATGAATTTCAGTGATGCGTTGAAATTGTATGACACATGCATATTATTAAAAACATAACAACAGCAAAACTCCCACTCAGTTTATCGAAAAGTCTCAGTTTGTCCCTTTGAGGGGGAAAAAAGAAAACCAGTTCACTTGAAATGCTTCATGCATTACTGTATGTATGGAAATGTAAACTAATGAGTCTCTGAGGTCTGTAGTCATACACATAATATTCATGAAATGCATACAGTCTTTACAGTTGGGATAGTCGCTGGACAAATGACTCATTCATGTTGTGAATTTTAATGAACACATTAACATTCTCTTCTCATACTGTTTGGAGCAATTGTACACAAAAGCAATACTCGATGTAAAAATATTTCCCAGTGGCACTAATAATTCTCTTATTAGTAGCATCGAATCTTTTATTTTCTTTCCCAATTAATTTCTCACTTCTTTTGTGAGGATTAGATATGATGTTGCAATGCAAGTCTCGCAGACATAATAGATCAGGCATTCAAAACACTCTGATAAAATGGCAACAAAGGTAGAAAACATTAAAAAGTTTTTATTGGAACCAATTTAAGTCAAACAGAAGGTTTTGGTCAGAGGGAGGATTTTATGAGTTCGGTAGTATCGGGTTACACTGTGCATACACTGTGCATTTCTGTCATCCTTTTGCTTTCTTGGGATCATGTTTAAAACACCTGGAACACAACACTCCAAAATTACATCAAAGGTGGAAAACGCACCCAGGGCTTGAAATGACACATCCTCCTGTGCTGCCCTTTTGCCCACTCATTAAGTTTCACAGATTTGCATTCACAGATTTATGCTGTTTTACCTTTGCACCATTTGCTATCTTGGTAGACCTGCTTGAACTGACAGCCATGCTGATGAGGCAATTAAAGTTCCTCGCCTTAGCCGGCCTTAGAGGGGATCAATTCTGTCCTCTAGCATCAGGTGGCGGGTCCCAACATTCATTATTGCCTGCAAAGGCTCCCTAATGGGATTGGATTTGTTCTTATGAGTCAACAGGGCTGTTATTGAATCTGAGTTGCTGAAGCAGTTGTCCTCTTCCTACAACTTTCTCCTTTGCCTCTTTTCTGAAGTGTCTTTGTTGTTGCAGTCCTGAAGGATTTTCTTTTTGGTTTCTCTTTAGTTCTGCATAATGTACTAAGACAGATGTAAGCTCACAGGGGATGAAAAGGTATTACAGACTTTACTTTGTTGCAGTAGATTATTCACTTTAAGAATTCTGTGTGGTGCATATCATAGCGTTTGGTGGTATGGTTGTGGAAGTGGGGATAATAGAAGTGAGTAAGTAGTAATGTTGGGGTTCTGTGTGGTGTAGTACTTCACACAGTTTTCCCTGTGTCTCCATCTCACTTAGTGATTGCTTTGATTAGCTTTAAGCTTGTGGGTGGTAGTCCTCCAGGGGGCTCATTAGCTGTAATGACAAGGCCAAGAGTTTAAAGTTAGCCAGTCACACATAGTTGGTAGCTGGTATCTACTACGGCTAATTTCTTAAGGCCTTCAGCTTTTCACATTTATTGATACATCAGGTAACAGAGTTTCACACAGGGCAACATCTAAAGACCCACTTTCTTTCTCTCTCTGCAAATTATTAAGAGCGCTACAGAGAATTTTGTATTATATTTTGCCCTCTTTGTGTGCACCCCTCCCTTCATCTCCGTCTTTTCTTTTCACTCTCTTTCTTATGTCAATTATGCCTTAGGATGTGGCTCTGGGGTCTGGCCTACATAGAGGTTTGCACTCGAAATTGTCTCGGAGGGTTGCAAATGAATGCCTCGCTCCACGCTACATTTGATGGCAGGAAGTCAGCAGAAACTCATTGAAAGTCACTGGAACTTTACCCGAGGAGAATGTTTGATTGGAGTGATTTGCCCCGAATCTAGAACTGACAAAAGGTGTTTTTGTCTGCGATTAAATAGCTCCCTGGAAATGAAAAGAGGATTCATTATTCATAAAGGGAAAATGGGTTGACATTGGACTACAGGTCCAATTTGACAGTTCAGGCTAAGTACCTGGAAAGTGTTCCCTCTGACACTTGCATAGTAGCAATACGTACTGAAATGTGCTCGGGAAAATGAGTGTGCCGAGACAATATGTTTATAGTCAACACAGTTAATTGTTTATTATTTAACCTCAACATAGAGATGATGATCCCCCTGAATAATGTACTTCTGATCAGATGTGAAGGGATTACTGTTAAGCTTTAGTGGAGTTGTTGTACAATAGGAATAGCCAATGTATTTAATTTTACTGATGTCGTCAGGAGCTAACACTTGTGGTGCAAGGTGCCAAAAAGACACCTAACAAAGTGTCAGTGTAATTAGATATCACTACTTACTTTAGGTCACCCTTGAACTACCTGATTTGAACAGCCCAGCGCTGCTCCCGATGCAGGGAATTTTGTTTCAACAACAGCCTTCTTCAGCATGCACTGCAGCATTGAAGCCAGTTGGACCGTATATTTTTCCTGTTAGTCCCTAATATTGAATGTTACAATAACCCAGGTATTTCTCCAGTGGATTCAAAGCGAGTAGGTGGATGTCAGGTTTACTGCCTCCAACGCAGTCTGTCCAGACGTGTATCCCACCAAACCATATTCCTGTGTGAGCTACCATGTGAGAAAGGGCAACAATGCACGCTATCTCAACCTGTTCCTCTGAAATAGTTTGGAGTTAAGTGAAAACTGCTTTTTTGAATGAAAGCCACTGATGATACTGGTGCTCTAAATCAGAGGCTCTGTGGTGTGGGAGTTAACACTTTCACCTTACGATCCCTGGTTGAATTCTAGGAGAGGACACGCCCAAGGGAGGGTTAAATCAGGAAGGGTTTCCGAGACAAAATCAAACAGATCCATCTGCTGTGATGACGCCTTGGGATACAAGGGAACAGCTGAAAGCTCCTTTACATGTAATTCACATTGCAGCTGGTTACTGGTTCAAAAATATTTTTCATGGATACAGCAGGTCCTTGTACCTTGTTTGATATCAGTGCTGGACGTTTCCTTACTAGCACTACCTACTAGCACTAGTTATGGTAAACGCTATGTTAAGTGGTCACTAAGAGAATCAACATCACAGGTCAAAACAGTTCTCACATGAGCTTCTGTCCAGAGCAGCTATATTCTCAATGTGATAAACTCGTGTGGAGTGGAGTTTTATTCTTATCTGAACTGGGGCTCTTTCAAACCTCTCCAACCTGCTATAACTATTCCCAGTTCAGGGCCAGGCACTGCAGTCTGATGTTTTTTTTCTCTCTCTCTTTTTCCTCTGTCACAGCTTCAGCACTGCCTACCAGTGTATCTACTACTCCCCAGAGCACACAGCCAAAGCTCAGGAGGTACTCAACATCATGAGCCTCCTCCAGCCCCTCATCACGAGGTTAGTGGACCAGCTCCTTCAGGCTGCCCATGAGCACTCTTCCCCTGGACTGAGGGATGCACTCAAGCACCTTTCTGACAAGGTGAGGCAGCACTTAAGCCTTTCATTTGCAATCACTTCCATCTCACCTATCTCTTTATTCCTCTTTACATCAAGCTGCTGCAGTACACAAAGCATAGGTATGTCGTGCCAAATGATTTTTACCTCAGAAACGAGAGCCCTATATATTAATCTTTAAATGTGGTGATAAGTTGATGAAAACCCAAATTAAATGGCTGCCCTCCAACAGGAGTTAAAACACCAAAGAGTTACTTTGCACCAGCTTTGATAATCTCTGACTGGTAGTTGGCTCACCACAAACAAAAGCTGCAATATTCAGAAAAATAACTTTAAAAACTGCAGTTGCTTTGAAACCATTAAGCACACATACACACAGAGACATGCATATACTAAACAGACAACCCCAGGAATAGATCCATAAGTCATCATAAAAACGGCAAACTAACAAAAGTGAATAGCAGCATGGAGGTTTATGGAGTTGAGGCGTTTTTATCAGTATAATTAATGAATTACATCTGGTGCTGTCAGAAGGCAATCTGTTGTGGGAGAGATTGTTTTTGCCACAGTGGAATAGAGCCCAATCAGCCTGCTTAATTGGTACATTCGCTCTGTCACCACTTCCTCTCATCCTTGATTAGACATGCACACATTGGCCAAGTAAACGCCTGGCCTGGTCAGCACAAGCAGTGCTGTCCTCTGATTAAAATCTCAAGCTGTGTTTGTTCATGTACGTGAGTGATTCTGAGGGTGACAGGAGGATGAGAATGTGCCTCTGTGTTTAAAAGCTGATGTGGCATGACTCTCTTAAAATCCCAAGCATTTTAATCATGAAGATAACGCAATATATGAGTATTTCACACGCTGACACCTGCACAAGCAAGTCGACTCATTTTGTTTTGTTTATTTGTTTATTTTTTTCAAAAGTCTCAAAGGAATGATTTGACATTACTGGGAAAAGGTTTATAATCTTTTTTGACCACATGAGATGATGAATACATCTGTCATGTCCATATATAATGTATGAAACTACATATTCTTTACTTAGCTTGACTTAGCTTATCTTAGATTATCTTAGATTAGATTAGCGTATAGACTGGAGATGAGGAAGAAAATTAGCCTGATTTTATGAGGTAGCTTTCTATCTGCTGTTTGACTACAGTTAAAGCAGTACTAAAGTTTTTCCTTTATCTCTTATGAAGTAAAGAGGGTTCACAGTATTGATGATAAATGTGACATTTAGAAGAAGTCACAGCTAGCTAGCTAGTACCACAAAGTGCTACCAATGCAAAATCACACTGGATAAGATTATGGATAAAACAGACACTTTGCATGGATTAGCACTGTGGGATTGTCTTAGATGCTAAAGAAAAATATGGTGTGTTACAGTTTAAAAGTAGAGATTGTAATAATATTTTTATGAAATTATTTAGACCTGAAAGTTTTATATAATCACAGCCCTATGAAATAAATGTTTGTTGTGGTTAAAAAGTTGCCTGAAGGGTGCTGGTATAGCTCACCTCGTTGAGTAGACAACCCATACAGCTGTTGCAGGTTTGAACCCTCTCCAAGACTATTTATCATGTGTTTCACGCTGGTTTCTATTCTAGCTTCCCTGTCTTCTCTCTACTGTCCCATATCAATAAAGGCTTAAAAGCTAAAAAAAAAAAAGAAAATCCAATAAAATAAAAAAATGTAAAAGCAAACTCTTCAGCCGTGGACAGCAATGAAGCACCCAGCACATAGTTTGTGCTGAGTTAATGGCAGAGAAAATGTGGACCTCTGCAGTTACTGAGTCAGCAGAGCGTTGGTGACTTTTACCCACTCCGAGTTTCAACGCTCGGTGATCTGTAACTTTGGTCGTCTGCCACTTTGTGGGTGAGTTGCTGTGCTTCCTAAACCCTTCCACTTTGTAGTAAAACCATTTACAATCGACTGTAGAATATCTAGGAGTGAAGAAATTTCACAAGCTGACTTGTTGCAATGTTGGCATCCTTCTACATTACCTCACTCAAATTTTGTGAGATCTTTAGAATGACCCATTGTTTCACAAGTGTTTGTAAAGGCAGACTATATGGTTGGTTGCTTGGTTTTATGGCAAACACCTAAATTCAGAGATTTAGAGTTGTGGTCCACTACTTTTGTCAGTATAGCGTTGTTTTGTTTACCCTGGTTCGTTAGCAGCAGTAGCCTCATTTTTAAATTGCAACATGTTCAACTATCACGCTCATAACAATACTGCAAATCTTGCAACAAAATAAATGGCATAATCATTTGACAATAAAAACTAATCATTACTTGCAGCCCTGTTACAGGCAACATCCTCTTGTTTTCAAGAAAATTAAATGTATTTTCTGTCCATTAGACAAAATATACTATTTCTCCTGTGAGTATAAAGTTTCTTGAATACAGAGCATGTGTTGCACTTTAAAGGAATGTGGTAAAAATGACACTGCCATAGAAAAGGTTTTACACCGAAGCACTGCCTATGACTTTTCCTTCATAGTTCTAACCACCTGTGTCCAGGCCCAGTGGAACATTTTACTCCAGTGCTTTTTGCCACACACTTTCTGATTAGTTTTGAACATGGCCAATGTGCTGTTGCTTTTCTATACGTGGTAATGATTCTGTTGATGATGGTGACAATAATAATTTCACTCTGATGATAATTATAGTGAAAAGGCAATTGCAACACGTCCCCCCTTCCTCCAGCTGTGTCCTTGGGCAAGTTATATGTCCGCACTTTAACGGTTACCTGGAAAGACCGGCAGGTTTGCTCGTCTATGCATGATTATGTCAGATGATGCTGTGTGTGGAGGTCATGAATGCAGGGGTAAATGTCCTCACAGCCCAGTGTTGCTGGAATCTGACCAGCTCTATTCATTCAGCCTCTTTCCACATTTAAAGTGAAGTTGCATAAACTGAAACATTTCTATTTTTATCACAACCAAACTGTGCTCATCCTTCAGGGTGAAACCATTTGAAACCATTCGGGGTGAACAGATTCCCACAGTTCTTCTTCTTTAGATCAAACCTAACTTATATTTTTTTGCCGGAGTGCACAGAAACATTTTCAGACTTGCACTCCTGCTCAGTGAAGATCACATCAGCAGATATTTTGAAGAAAACAGAATGTCTCCCTGAGGGATTTCGAGCATTTCAGATCCTTTAAAATGGGTAGGTGTTGAAGAGTTGCACTAAGGAATAGGTTTTGAATGTGGGGGAGCAAAGTTGCTTTGGTTAAAGCTGCAGTGCATTCCTCCTTTGCCCAGTAGGGATCTGCTGGTGATATTTTACTTTGAAAACATATCTATATGGATCTTACAGTAGAGTGCATCATTAACATTTGGACTGCACTTCACTGAAGATCCTAATCTTAGTGGGTACAAGCTGAGTTTAATTTTAACACAATTCAGTGATTACCCGGTTGATTGATATGCTTTCTTTTAATCTAATCCCTTCACATTCATCCTGAAAAAAATGCATTGGATTTATAAGAATATCATTTCACCATCAGAGGGAGTTACTGTTTGAGCACTGGCACAGTCGAATAAAAAATGAGTTCTCTGACCTCATGGTTATGAAGTGCAAATATGACCTAGATTGTTTTACAGTACGCAGCTTTCCTCTGTAATCTCAAGAAATGAATAATATGGGGTGGCATAGATTGTGAATTAACACAGAGGTCAGATAAGCAGAGTTTAGTTTGAATATAAATTTACATTTTGATTGCCCAGTTACTCCTTATTGTTTCCAATACTTAGTCAAATGTGGCTCTTTTTTTCTTCTCATATAGAAAAGTGTTTTGAAAATATCTTATAAGACTTCATATGCTTATGTCCCAACCTATGGATGAATATATTTGTTTTTATTTTTTAAATTTAATAAAAAATGATTCTTGTTAGTCTGACAAAAAAAATCATAAATGTCCAAACGGACTCATGTATAGTATATTCATAAGTCATTTGGATTCATACAAGGCATTTGAATTGGGAAAATAATATATATATATATAAATGTTCTTTTATAGCACTTTCCTACTCAAAACACTTTGTACAGCATCCCTCACTCACCCATTCATACAAGCAATTTCTTCTACACCTAACATTCATGCTTCAATGAACACATCATAGAGCAACTTGGGGTTCAGTCTCTTGCCCCAGGATACTTTGGCAGACAGGGATCGAACCACTAATCTTCCAAGTTGTAGATGACCGGCTCTACCTCCTGAACTACTGCCACCCTAAGAGTTTGAATTAAATACAGTGGTGTTTTGTGTCTAGCTGTTGTTTGGCTTCTCTGCCCTAAACGTTCACCAAAAGGTGACCTGGAGGCGGCAGAGTTGAAGATTTCAAGACTTTCGTTGGGTTCCTTGATTATCGGGGACAGGATTAGAATTGAATACATTGGAGCGGCAAAGGCATGTGGACACATTGGACAAATGTTGAAGGTGGAAGTGCCACAGACAGGATTTGTGGATGTAGTGAAGGAGGACATGTAGAGGGTTGGTGTGATAGAGGAGGGTGTTACGGATAGGGTGACACCAAGGCATATGATCTGCTTTGGCGATACCTAAAGGGAGCAGCCAAAAGAAGAAGAACAGTTGCACACAATAGTGGCTACATAGTATAGTTAACACATTTGAGTAGTGTGTGAAAGATCCCTGTTTCAAGGAAGAGACACAAATTCCTGGGAATGTTGTGGCAGTCAGGACCAAATGAAATCCATGGATCCAACATCCAACAGCATACTTTGATGGTCAAACCCAATGATAAATAGGGATAGGAGATGAATCATAAGCTCCCCCTGTGATGGTAGTAGAGTTAAACTAACAGGTTGTACTCTACTATAATTGGGTGATTGGTAGAGATGCTCAATGTCAAACCAGTTTAAAAAAAATGAATCTCATCGTCATAATCATTACAGACTCTTCTGTGAGTAGTGTTGCTGTCCCCTGTGACCGAAACCTCTGATACAAGTTAAGATGGATGTTTTTTTTCTTCTTCTTTTTTCTGCTCATTCATATTGATGAGTATTGAAAAATCAACAGAACAACTGTATTATTAATGATTATTATTTATGTATACTTTATTATACCAAAGATCATTAGAAGAGTGACTCAAAAAGTTTGAGAGAATGTGAATTAACTAATTAGTGGCTATTAACATGTTAGTTGACTCCCAAAAAACAGAATCATTTTGGCCTTGGTTGCATCTCCCTGTACATGATGTTGTTACTGATTGGCTTAAGAAGGACAAGGAGAAAGATAACTGGTGAAGTGTGATGACTTTAAACTCACGGGGGTTTGATTGCATGGTAAAATATAAGTGACAAAAAAAGTAGCTTAAAATCACCCGCGGAGGAATAAAAGCAAAAAATGAGAATGCCTTTTACTTGCATTATATTATCTTTATAAATGTATATTATTATGAAGAATCTGTTGCCAAGGAATAAAGATTGTTGGCACTGCAAATGACCTTTGTGGTGTTGCATTGTCATCCAGGTTTGATCACATTTAAAGAGGCTTTACTTGCAGGTAGACAGTATCTATTAAGGAGCAAAGGAGAGAACACATTTGCCAAAGTGCAATCTTGGAAGCATCAGCTATCATCCGACAACCATTTAGGTTTTTAATTCACTTTTTAGAATCTGTCTGCATTCACGATTAATGACCGCCGCACAGAACAGGAAGTCTTGGCCCCGGATATCCATCAGAAGGCCCTAAATTTTGGCTGTTGTGATCTGATTATGGCCAGTGTGTCCCCATATTGATCACGTTGATGTTATCTGCAATGAATAATAGATGTTCGCCTTAACAAATCAACAAGCTGGCACTACCGTATTTTAAATGGGTCACGAGCTGAGGAAAGTTCAGAAACACTTCATCCACACGCAGCTTTTGTCAGTTCTGTTTCTGGGACAGGACGTTTTTAAATAGTTACCTACCTTCTTGCTGACGAAGCAGTCTCCATAATTCCTGTCACTTTCAATAATCTCACTATTCAGTCAACGGAAGAGAGGTATAGGAGCAGGAAAGGGCTGTTTGTGTGGAAAATATATGTATGTAATGACCTCGTAGGTTTCTTTTCATGGAGGGCTTGGCTTATGTGTTTTGTTCGACTGCATTTCCTGTGGTAATAGAATTGCTTATTGCAGTGGTAACTCAATTACTCTCGAGAGCCCTTATCATTTTTTACGCAGCGGCGGCGGCGGGCATAAGACTCCTTGGTACCGGGATCATCATCAACTTACAGTAGCTGGTGAATTTAAGATCAAAGGAGGTGTGCTCCACGGAGCAGCAGGCTGGAGGAGGAGTAATTGAATTGTTTGTTCTTTGTTTCTTTTCTTTTTTTCTTTTCTTTTGGCTTACTGACTGCGCTGCAGTAATGGAGAGCACCTCCTTTATGGTGAAGGAGAGGGTTCATTTTGCTTATTTCTTTTCACTTCCTCTGTAAAATAGTTACTTGCTTCCAAGTTCGCCTCCACCAGTGTTTTCTTCGACCCGTTCTCCCTCGGCAGCGTGACAGTCTCTCTATATCCCGCTCACTTACTCTGTCACTTTTGCTTTTTCAGCACTTAAATTTGTATTTGTTGTCCTATCCAACAGTAACTTTCAGTGTCTATCTTTTTTTCCCTCCTATCTGTCTCTCTTTTCTTTCCTGCAGACAGAACAATTTGTTCACACACTTAAGGATGAATTGGTCAAGAGTGCACTCCTAGCGCTGCATGCAGCGCAGCCAGGCTACGTTTCCAAGAACCAGAAGTCGACTCGGGCGCAGAGCCAACACCAAGGCCACACAAACCAGACCAATGACCAGAATCAGAACCCGATTCAGGGACTTCCAGGCCACAGTCCACCGACGTCGGTCACTGAGACCACAGTGGTGTGTAATAATGTGGAAGGAACCCAAACAACTGCTGGAGGAGAGCCTTTGTCACTGAAGCACCAAGACACCATACCCCACCATAAAGAGTACGATGAGGAGGAATGGGTATGCCCGACTCCTTTTCTAAGTCATTTAGAAACATTTAAAAATTGTGATTGAGTTATCATTTTATTTTAAACCGGTGTGTTTTGACAAACTGATGTTTTCCCTGGTGCTTCTTACAGTAGAGCGCACACAGGGGGAAGCCGAAAACTATTACTGTATTAGAGATCTGCTATGGCAAATAATTACTCACAAAATTAGATTGCATACCAAACATTAGTCTTTTAAGTGGATTCTTTTCTCAAAGGGGGTTTAAATATTTCATCATGACAAACTGACTGCGGAAGATAATTACGCGGTATCCTTGTCAGTAGGGTTGCCAACTCCCTGAAAAATAAATAAGGGACACCTCGTGGCCAGGGCCGGGCAACCTAGTTGTCTTCACCCTCCCAGTGTGGTGAATTTTTTAGCTCTTTTTTGTGTGTGTGAAATTATTTTTTAACCATTTGACTTGAATTTGATTTAAGCAGATGCATATTCTTTGTGATATGACCATATGAGAAACAAATGATCATTTGGCCATTTATTTTTAGCTCAAAATGACAACATTAACACAGTAAAACAGGTCTCTTTCTTAAACAGAAGCCTGTCATGCTTAACTTTTGAGAATATAAGTAAAACTTTCTTTAAAAGAACTCTGTCCTGCTTAACTTAAAATTATATAAATTAATAGAAAACAATAGAAAGAAAAATATTCTTGTAACAGTGCACATTTAGTGCATTTAGTACAATTGGCTTCAGTTGAGGTATTATTTCAGCTTTTCTAATGCTAATCAGCTGCTCCTGTTTGTAAACCCACTTGTTCCCATGATTACGCATCATAACTCATCATCATTATTCATCTATGTATTACTTTTATGTATTAGTCATCTATTTGTAATCATCTATCCTTGCAGTTGTTTATTACACAAAATAAATGATATTATCACACTTCTGGCCACATAGCGCTGATATTCACTGCACATGCCCATATTAACCTTAACCAGAGGGTTTAAAAAACAAACCAGTGTTTACATACCATATCTGCTTCTGCCGTGGCCTGGTGGACAAGAAATTGGTTAAGGGTTCCCCGAGCTTTCACACCCCTCATGTTCTTCTTGTGCCCACCACTAGAAGCATGCCTATGGAAAAAGTGCGCCGGCAGACAGTGCAGTGCGCTTTATAGGTGTTATGGTGACCTTTTCCAGCCAGGTGTTTCCCTTTTCCCATTCCTCCCTGTACTTTTGCAGCCTTTTTTTTCTTTCTCTGAGCAAACAAACATTGCTGCTCTAATGCTGGGCTCACACTGTGCGATTTTTGGCCCATTTTGAGACGATTTTTGAGTCGTGCGACCGATTTGGTGATCGGCCCGATTTTGGCCTTCATCGTGCATCGTGTAGTATACGTGGGGTAACGAGAAGCGATTAACACCTCGAGCAGCTCCCGATCATCAATCGCTCGTGAGCCGCTCACACTGCTCACGCGCAAACACGTAAACGTCGGTGAAAAAGACGGAGCAGCACGGCTGTGCAGCGTGTGATCTGGACACAAGCGATGGAGGCACAACTTGTAGAACTTTGGAAAGCTCATCCGAGCCTTTTCGATGTGGCATCACAAAATTATCACGACCACAACAACCGTGAAAATAGTTGGATCTACACTGCTGCTCAATCACAGCTGCCTGATCAATGTTTTTCATTAGCAATTTAGCAAAGTTGATGGTGGTGGTGTGTGTGTCTGTGTGAGTGAAAGACAGAGAGAGGGAGCGACAGATTTTCTGTTATAACCTTCATGTTATGTTGGCACAGTGTGAGCACTCAGGTCGCATCAGAGCATCGGGCGGTATAGTGTGAGACCTGCATCGTGACCTATGAACGTCTAACCCCTGCGAGTCAATCGTGCAGTTTGAGCAGGAGCTGAATAACGTGACTGAAAAAATCGCACAGTGTCTGCCCAGCTTTAGGTGTACTGTCGTCCGAGACTTGCACCGCAGTGTCTGCGTTTGTTTCCCTGTTGGCCATGCTTCTTGTTGTGGTCATTTGTTGTCTTCCGGTATTTTCTCCGTAAGCGACCTTTCCTCGACCAATGAGATGAGCGGTAATCTGAATTGTCATAAGTGTGCTGTCAGCTCATTGGTCACAAAGCAGGAGAGGGGCTGGGAATTATGTTTTCCAACAAAGCGTTAATTCCATTAACATTTATAGACCACTTTTGATTCTCACTGTATTACGGGACAAAGTGCGTCCCTTATTAGCTCAATACGGGACGTGTGCTTTTGTTTCTAAATACGGGACGATTCCGTTTTTTAAGGGACGGTTGGCAACCCTACTTGTCAGTGAATTTAAGCCATCTCGCTTCTTTTCATGGACGTGTCTATGGCTGTTAGTATTCTTTGTGTGTGAGGACAGCATCTGCCACACTGACAGCAGGAGTTCATCGTGATTTCTCCACACCAATGCCTAATTATCTCCCGCCATTATAACGTGTTCAACCCATATTTTTAAGAAGAAAATATCCAAAATATGTATTCCCCCACCCCCCTTCAGCACACACATCCACAGAGAAAAAGTCTCAATACATCAGTTACCTGCAGGAGCTCAGGAGAAGAAAGAGAAAGCTTGAAACGATGGAAACGCTTTAAAAGTAATCTCAGAATATCCTTTCAGACATTTCCTTTTGACCTTTTGGCTTTTCGGAGTTTGGACTGTGCAAAAAAAATAACTGCCTCACAGTCTCAAAGGTAGACAGTGTGAGTAAGACACAGATGTAATCAGCGCAACTGATCTGACTGCTGATTGTGCATTTGGCTCTTTCAGGACAGGCTGTGGGCAAATGTGGCCAAGTGTCTCAACTGTGTAATCGCCATGGTGGATAAACTCCAGGAAGAAGACAACACCAAGCAGGATCCAGTCCCAGAACATCAGCTAGCTGATGTCATCACCTCCCACAATCCTGGTAAATTACATTTTCAGTTTGTTTAGCCCATCGTTTACAGTCTTAGACAGGCCAAATAATTGCTGTGTCAGTCAAAAGTAAAACTTTATTTGGCTGATGATACAGTGATGTTTTGCTCGTTAGGATTCAGATCTGGCTGCGGTCGTGATTACAAACCAGCAATACTATACTACAGTTTGATCACAGTTCCTTCATCTATGTTGTAGGTTACCACCTCTGTTTGTCTGTGCGTATATATATATGTGGATGTACCGTCACTGTCTATTTCATTAGGTACAGCTTGCAGTAGCAGCTTCCTTAAATCTTTGTAAAATAGAGCCAACAAGGTGCTGGAAACATTCCTCAGAGATTTAGGTCCATACTGACAGATGCTGCACGACATGATGCACATCTCCAGTTCCACCACATCCCAGATGTGCTCTGTTGGATTGAGATCTCGTGACTGTGGAGGTCATCTGAGTACAGTGACCTCACTGTCTTATTCAGCAAACCGGTTTGACGTGATTTGAGCTTTGTGACATTATTGTGCTGGAAGCATCCATCAGAAGATGGGTACACTGTGGGATGGATGTATATTCAGGTATGCTATGGTGCTCAAATGATGCTCACTTGGCCCTAAGGGGCCCAAAGTGTACAAAGTAAACGTCCCTCACACTATTACACCACCACAAGCTTGAAACCATTGATACAGGGCAAGATAGATCAATGCTTGAGATTCGTCAGACCAGGCAACGTGTTTCCAGTCTTCTGTTTTCCAGTTTTGGTGAGCCAGTCTGAATAGTAGCCTCGGCCTGCGTAGCTGACAGTAGTGGCACACAGTGTGGTCTTCTGCAGCTGTATACCCTGGTTCAGAGTTTTGTGCCTTCTGAAATGCATACCTACACACAGTGGTTGTTATGAATGCTTATTTGAGGTACCGTTGCCTTCCCATCAGCCTGAAGCAGTCTGTCCACTCTCCTCTGAACTCTGACATCAATGAGGGCATTTTCGCCCAGATATTTTCTCTTTTGATCAATTGTGTACATACCCTAGAGATGGCTGTGTGGGAAAATGCCAGTAGTTTCTGGAAAATTCATATGAGCCCAACAGGCACCAGAATCATGCCACTTTCAAAATCACTTAAATCAGCTTTCCTCCTCATTCTGATGCTCAGTTTGAGCTTCAGCAGGTCATCTTGATCATCTACATTCCTGCATACATGGAGTTCCTGCTATATGCCATGTGAATGTTTAAAGGTGACATTTCTACCTTAACACTTCAGCTAATTTAGCTTTCTTTTGTTATTATTTTGTTCATAAGTTTTCTTTAGCAGAAACATCCCATTTTTTTAAGTCTGTACATTTTTGTTTTTCTCTTCAGTTAAACAGGTAATCCAATGCCTCATCGGTGAATTTCCTCATGCAAATTATAATGCAGAATATGCATTAACCGATCCATCACTGTCACAGGCAACATGTGGTGATACCACTGTATTGTAATGTGCCCGTCACTATGCTCCCGTCACTAAACAGCAGTCCTTTTAATGCTAAGAAGTGCTCCTGAGCCCAAAAAAACATTTTTAAGCGTTCGTACATAGATTTTTACTGTGGGGAAGAAATAACATTGAGTAGTTCATCATATTTTTCAGAGTATCTTAAGCTGAAATCGAAAAGAGTTCCAGCGTTGCAGACTCCCTGTTGTTCAAGCACTGGCAAATGAGAAACTCATATTGTTGCCAGAGAAGTGGATGAAAGCTACATTTCGTATGCAGAGCCATTCACTGTTGACCACAAGCTGCCCAGTCTTCCCTTACGTCCAATGAAATCCTGCCTCAAGCTTGTGTTCAGACAAGCGCCCAGACTGCTGCAGCTGCCAATTGGCACACAGAGCCACAGAGCAGTGGCATTAGACTGACCAGACGACAAGGAGAGGCTGTGTGTGTGTGTGTGTGTCAGTCACACACACATGCTGTGGAGGCATTGGTGCATTTGTATCATTTTGTGTCATTGTGTCTTTGTGAGCCAGCAGGTGAAAACAAGGCCATCAGCCCCTGTGTTCATTCTGAAAGATAAGCTCAATCCTCAGAGCACCTTTATTAAGACAGGCTCAGAGAAAGTGGTCATCTGCTTGTCAAAATACAAACATGGAAGGAATAATGAGAGAAGCTTTATCTCTTTTGTGAATCCTGGGCTTTTGATGGCACTGCAGGGGTTTGCATGTTTGGACAGGTGGGCCAGTGAAGAGATGACAGCTGGAGTTCTGTTTCCTGCTCTGTGCAGAGGCAGTATTTGCAGAATGAGATAAGATGTGATTTCTATGACAGGGCAAGGGCAAGCTTGATATGCTGTACATATCAAACTGTGTGCATGTCTGTTTGTCCGCAATGATTCACTCTTCCCTCCTGAGAACTTTTCAATATGTTGAAGCTCAGAAAGAATATGTGGTATGGTTGGAAAACTCATCTTGAGCACTGCTTAACCAACACTGCCCCCTGGTGGCCACTCAGAGGCTCGACTTTATCAGAAACCAGTGAAGGATGCAGAGAAAGCATCATCACAGCTGCAATGCAAGTTTCCTGCACACATTTTGAGTTTGGTGCATGTCCAAAATAAACAACCACAAAGAGGTCACAAGGATTACATAATTTATTTGATGTTTGCTGATAGTAATACGGTACAATGAGAGCTTAAATATTATAACAGTGTGACAGAAATTATATAGTCTATACCAATGATTCATGACCAGAAGTAGTTGTACCCTCCTAGTTGTGATTTGATTTTCAAACACAACAATATGTTTTTATATGGCCTCCAGTCTGATGTGTACTGCACAGGATAATTTATTTAACTTAAGTAATAAAAGAAGAAGTGTATAAAAACACTTATTGCACAATGTTGTTATCAAAGGTCAACAAGTCTGGTGTAGACAGGAAAATTGTGGCGATATCTCACAATACTTCACATTTACAGTAATGGTTAAAAGAAAGTACACCCTCTTTAAATTCTAAGTTTTTTTTGCAACAGGACATGATAAAAAAAAAAAATTATATCAGGTCGAGCCTTTAAAATTGAGCTGAATCGGACATGTGCTGTAATAGCAGCATGTGGTCTGGAGCATTCAGGTGTGGCAACACAATCCTGATCTTACAGAAGCAATTTGTTACTTCTCATAAGGCTGGGAAGGGTTATAAAGCCTGACAACGACAGTGACAGTGAGCAGTGCTCAGAGAAACCCACGAGCTACATCTCGTTGTTACATGTCGCATGTTACAGTGGTCCAGTCAAATTCCAGACCTCAGCCTGCGATGCTGTGGTAGGACCACCAGAGAGCTGTACATGAATTTTGCAATGTTGCACAGAAAAGTGTTTCAAAGTTCTGACCAATAAAATCATTCATCAAAAGATTCCTTCCAAATTTTGCTACTAAATGTGGATCTACAACCTGAATAATGGGTTGTACTTTTCACACACTGATTCTGGTTTAGACTTAGTTTTTCTGTTCGTCTCAGTTGCGATTTACCAAATCTGAAAACCTGGTAAAGTCTAAAAGTCTTATTTTTATTATGTACGAGTATAACCTCATATTTGAAAGAGTACGAATTATCTTTGTGCCATGACTGTAAATATTTTATATGAATATTAATTGCAACTCTGAAACCCCCACAGAGAATTACAGGCGGAGGGTGAGGTGATGACTTAAATGAGAGAAGAGAAAGTTCAACTGTAGAAACTGAAACAATAGTGTCCAAGGAGGAAATCAGGAAAGACGCACGATTTCAGTTCATGGTTTACAAGCAGGTGGTGCAGTAACACCTGATCTGTCAGCCCAGGATGAGTAACGCAGGGCAGTTATTAAAAAAACATCCAGGTTCTCCAGCATCGATGGGATGATGATAAGAATTAAGACTGTGAGGGGTTGACAGCCAGTAGGTCATATTTAATGAATTATGTTATTTATTTATTTATTATAGGCCTTTAATCCTAATTCTCAGAAACTTTGGCTCATGGTGTTTTGGAAAAGTATAAAATGTTTTGTAAGAATGAGGTTGTTCTTCATCATTAGATCGTAGCATACAAACAACAAGCTAAATCTTCTAGGCGCACTGTTTGTGAATGACGCCTTCAACACGAAACAGTTTAGCGTGAAGATTTCTTTTTTAATTTACCAATTTTCTACCCTAATTTTCATATGTGCCTTTTAAAAAACAGAGATAATAATAATTTTATTGCTCGCTGAGATATTTTTATGTTCAAATCAGCCAGAAACAGATGGAAATAGTAAGAAAAATCACCAAGTTGCCAGTTTAGGAAGAATAATTGGATTTAAAGTAAACAGACCACAGTAAAACTGATCAATGCATATAAGATAAACCTACACTTTTTTTTTTCTTCAATTCAAAATGTGGGACTTTCTCAAAGCCTTTCACTGATTTTTAAATGAATGGATGATTCTTACAGTATCTGCTGTCTAAAATTTTTTAGTCTGCATGAAAAATTCCTCTATTAAATTTCTGCATCTGCCTAAAGGCAGCAGGACACACATGCGGTCTATAATTTGAGATGTGCAAGCTGGCGTACTCCGAGGGGTTCATTAATTTTGTGCTTTGCTGCCGCCTTTTCAGTGTTTCAAACCAAGTTGCATTTTTGTGTGGGGCCTTCCACCTCACACTGCAGCATACAGTGCTTGACCTCGCAGAGAAATCGCTTGCTGTGATTGAGATGTTCCCCATTGCATCTCTTTTTCACAGGTGACTGGAGGGAGCAGTTGTGTCCTCTGGTGACCCGGTTAAAGGACTGCGTGATGGAGGTGGTGGAGAAGGCGAAGAGAGCCATGACCTTTGTGCTCCTGCAGGAGGCAGCCTGCAGCATTCCACAGGGCTTCCTGCTCCAGCAGAGGCGAGACATAGTCTTCAGTCAGGCAGTAGGTGGCTGCACTGGCATAATAAACAACTCTTTAGGAGTCCTCCAGAGCATGGAGCTTTTTTTCATCTGAATTTAATCTGAAAGATTTTTGCTTTTTGTCGATACTTTCTCTTCTCATGAATGAATCATAAATCTGCTGCCCATTCACTGCTTTATGCAATAGCAGCTTGAGCTGTAAAGGATTTTGTCATCTAATTTTTTTCCCTCGTGGTCCAAAGTACAGCATAATCAGTGCAAACAATATAATATGTTGGTTGTATATTACTTCATGTTTGCATACTGTAGAACTCAGGGTGTGGAGTCATGTATTTGTTAGGCTCTGAACTATGTTTTATATTTAAAGGGTTTACTCCAGTAGGACTCATTCGCATGTCTCTGCTGTATACATCAACATTAAATGAGCATGAGCAAGTAAATAAAAGGAGTAACATGGATTCAGGTAACACATTTGTTGTGGTGTGAAAGTGGCTGCAGGTTCTGATCCTTTATAATTGAGCTGAATCGCAGTATTTTGGACCCAGTGTATTCTTGGTTCACCGTTTAGTGTTTGCTGCATAGTTGCTTGTTTGAAAATGTCTTAGTATTTGTGTGTTTGTGTGTTAAACAGCTGGCAGCCTTGGCCTGTGGTTTCGTCATGCGGTTGTACGCGGGAATGCAGGACAAAGGCTTCCTGAGGCAGCTTCACCTCGTTGGCCTGGTTGCTCAGTTTGAGAGCCTGCTCAGCACCTACAGTGAGTGAAATCACGCCGGTGACCTCACGACCTACATTGAATTTTACTGTTTGTGTTTGCTGTTAAGTAAATCCCAGCACGTTTAAGCAAGTCAGACTAGTAAGATGAATGATTAAGCTGTAATACATAGCAAGGTGAGGCAAGGTGAGTCACTGCAGTGTTGTTTTTGGCTAAATGCCTTCATTACCGACACCCATATTTCTTCATCCTTTAATTGTGACCTGGAAAATGGTATATCTCCTGTTAATGTTTGTCATAGAAATAAAGAGAACAGTAAGTAACAGTAAGAGTTGAATAAACATGCCCTGTTGTGTGTATGCATGCAACGAGAACGACTGACATCACTGTCGAGCTTGTTTTCTGTGGCCGCTATAGGTGAAGAGTTCGGGATGCTGGAAGACATGGAAGTGGGGATCTCAGACCTGCAGAGAGTCATGTTCAAGATTACAGAGGCCAAGTCCGATGACCTCAGTGACCTTCAGCCTTTAGTTTGTGGCCGACGGTAAGACCTTGTTTTGTTTTGTTTTGTTTGTTTGTTTTCTTGCTCAAGTCCAATTATAGGAAGGAAATCGGGCCAAACACTTATTTGCGGCACATGTGGTCACCTCTAATGGTTTCTAATATACCTCTGAGATCAGAAAATCAGCATCAAATCAAGCTATACTCGTTTTATTGAGATATGCAAACATAGAAAGTAATGTTTTTGGCTTGAGAGAGTTTCTTTGTTTATAGAGGAAATCTAAGTTTAAAGAAGGGAAATGTCCGTATATTTCAAAAGTAGGGGGATTCATACTCTGTGTTCAATGAAAACTGAACACAGGAACTTTGTTATAATGGAAGCCAGCCATTACAAAACAGCGTTGTTTTCTCTTGCATTGTGTTTCACTAAGGATACAATTGGCGCACTTATGCAAAACATCCAGGACCCCTCTCACACCAGCTCCAACACGGATCTGCAGCATAAAAAATATCGGAGCAGGTTTTTTTCTTGTTTGTATCACTTTAGTGTAGGTCATCACATGTGCTTTCCTTTGTGTTTCATATTGTGAAAAAAGAAAAACTTAAGCTTGATTTTCTTGTTTACCTTGTTCCTGATGTTGCTGTCTACTGGGACTGTCACTGTATCATAACTGTGGTCCTCTGCTTCTTCTCAATCACCACTATGTCTGGTTGGCTCAGGATCTCAGCCCCAGGAATCGCCTGCATACTCTTGGGTACATATTCAAGGGTATTGCTGTGTACCAAGAGGAACCCAGGACCCACTGCACCGGCGGGTTCATCGCGATACCTAATAGCAGTCAGGGTGCCATTGCCTAGCCTTATTAGAGGTCTCTGCATCCCTCCATGGATATGCCTCACTGACCCACCATCAAACCGGTGATGCTGAATGATGTTACAGGGAGAATAACGTTCTCCACGGCTTCTACCGACCCTTTCATGTCTGTGACATGTGCTCAGGGGGAACCTGCTCTCATTTGTGAAAAGCACAGGACACAGACAGGTCCAGTGGTGGACCTGCCAACTCTGGTATTCTACTCTATGGCAAATGCCAATCATGCTCCACGGTGCCGGGCACAGAGCACGCAATCCACTAAGGATGCTGGTCCCTCAGGCCAACCTCATGAAGTCTGTCTCTGATGTTTTTGTCAGACATTCACACCAGTGGCCTACTGGACGTCATTTGTAGGCTTCTGGCAGTGCTTATCCCGTTCCCCCTGCACATCTCTTCTAATGTAATTGTGTATCTATTAGTGAAAAACAGTCAGGAAAACTAGGAGGGAAGAAAAATGTCAACGGCCTCCACTTGTAAAACCATCATTTCCTCTCTAGTGCACGTTGTTAATTTCAGCACCAAAAGCAGCTAAAATTGATTACTTTAAAAAGTCTTAGGATGACACAGCATAATTACGAGTGGGCTGAATTCCACACGTTTTCTCTTAGACAAGTATCCGTTCACTGTGGCTCATTCAGGAATGCAGGTGGAAACTTTCCTCTTCATATCTGGACTTTGATGTTGTCAAAAGTAGCTAGCATTCAATAAATGCAGAGTCACTGAGATATAATGTAATTATTATTTGAATTATTATTTGACGTTTAAAAAAAATACACATGCATGTGTGTATTATTTTTATTATCCTTGTATTAGAAGATAAAACAAGTGTGGAACTGTGTCAAGTAGTAGTTAACTGTTGTCAGGGAAAATTTAACAATGACCTGCAACACACCCAGTGACCTTGATTTGAAGTGGGTTTAATAAACACATTGCAATGTGGAGAGAGCATCCCAGTGGAACACCAGGACCATCTCTGAATTGTGGCCACCGCCCTTACATCTCATATACAGAGACACAGACAAAGAACATTCCACAAACTCTTACATGTTGGCCCCTCTCACGGGTGGGCTATACCTTCTCGCTCACAGAGAGAATTATGACCTTGTTTCCTGCTTGGCCGTCACCTAAGGATTTACATCTCTGATAAGCAGAAGGAGTACCACTATCTGTTTAACGTCTCCCATTACAACGGCCTCAATGTGTTAACATTCCACATGCATGTAAACTAGTGACAGGAGTGCTCTTACTATAGTAAAGTGAGAAAGTGATATTACTATAACTAATGTGATATGATTAAATATGTGATTAATACATGAGAAAAGAAATCTGCCACCACACTGTGCAAGTGGCGGAAAGGAGAGTGACTACTGAGTATGGGAAAGTCCATATTTTAACAATTGTTATACGTGATTATGATTTCACACAGTCTTGTAAGACAAAAAGTTCAAAACCACTTTAGCATTTATTTAGTGCAGTTCAGTCGAGAAACGTTTGAAAGAAAAATTTAGCCTAATCGAAGATACCTCCCATAGGGGAAAAGAATTATTTAATAGTATTGCAGGTAGCATAGCTTCACAATACAACTGGTAACCAGGTGAACTTTACTCCATATACGGATGAGCTGTTGACACAGATATTATCTGGCTTCAGTCCACAGCAGTTTTGTACATTGGTTTAAAAGTTCAAATCAGCTGATCACGAATGTCCTTTCCCATCTTTGAAGAGAACCTTTGCTCACGTGTTGGACAGCTGTTGACAGGTCAAGCTGTTTTTTCTTATTGCTTACCTTGAGCATTGTGTCTGGTGTGATATTACACTCCTGTGGCACCTCCCACTTCCGTGCCACTCTTTGAGGAATTCTAAAACACACTGGCTCTCTGGTTTGTATACACACCATCAGTTTCTCTCTTTACATCTTGCTCAGGCCTGTCTTAGGTATCATGTTATAGAACTTCCCAAACATATCACATCTATCATGCGGTAAAATGTATCAAATTACTTTTTTGATGGATGTTTCACCGTCTTAATCCTTATTTTCTCTCTCTCTCTCACTTTCTCTTTGCATTTAGAGACCACTTCACTGTAGAAGTGCCATTACCTAAACTGGTTTTCCATACCTTACCAGAGGAAATCAAGGAGGGGAAGCTTCTCCGAGTATTCCCGGTGCTCTTTAATGTGGGGATTAATGAACAACAAACAATAGCAGAAAGGTAACCTGGATATTCTTTGCTCCACTCCAGTGCACATGAAGACGAGCACTGTGTATGTGCTGATCTAAACACAGATCCTATTGTCATTTCTAAAGGAAATGCTTTAAATCTATAGCTAAAACTAAAAGATTATTGTTGTTTAGTTATAGCTGGAGCCATCCAAACCACTAATAGCATATTCACATTTTTTTACTAAGTGCCTTTATTGTTTTTAGTTCTGCTACGTGATAAATAGTGATTATGGCTTTAAAGAAAAAGCACATATAGCTGCTGTTACATAAACAATAACAACATTATTTTTGGCGTAGAAACCTGCCTGCTGTACTCTTCCCTGACCCTTGAGCTTTTTGAACCTTTACCACGGGCCTTCTCAATGCTTTCACCTCCCTTACCTTGAATGACCTTTCACCCAGTGATCCAACCAAGTTCCAACTGCTTACAGTATCTCCAAGTTGTGCTTTATAGTTTGCTTTTTTTTTAACGTGACTAAAATGTAATGGTACATCTTCATTCATCTTGGCTCTTTGAATTCCATTGTCTAGCCAGAGACGCCTTTCCATCCGGTAGCTGGAAGCTCCCCTGCGTGGAGTGCTGAGAGTTTCTATCAAAAACACAATTTATTTTGGTAGAAATGATTCATTGTAGGTTTTGATTGGCTTCGAGTCAGCTCTTCATGTTTGCAAGAGGCACTAAAAGATTTGTGATTTTTGGAAAGTTTGGTAAGGTTTATGGGTCTCTCATGGAAACGTGACAGTTTTGAAGGAAATGGAAGCAAATTTTGTGTCCGGTCTATAAAACCTCTGATGAACCTTTTCATAATCTTCTGAAGTTTCTTCTTTCTGGTTCCTACGTAAACTTTGACTTATTGTACGCATTGACCTTAAAATAGGAATTATTTGTCTGTTTGATAGTGTATTTGCTGAATCAATTTAGGCATAAATTATAGGTAGTTTTTAAGTTTGTTTTCTCTTGCTGCTAATCCAGTGGGTCTTTGGACATTACATCTGCATATATACAGTTAGGTGCATATGCTTTTTTTGGGGGAAACTTTGATCATTTTGCCTCTGTACACCACCACCACAAATCAAGCAATTAATGTGTGGTTGAAGTGCAGACTTTCAGCTGTGATTTAATGGGTTTTACAAAAAAAAAACCAACCCAACATACTTTCAGAGATTGAAAGCATATGAGCAGCTGGCTGACTAGCAGTTCTGTGGCCATATGAGGGCTGCTTTCTTGTTATTTCATTCGAAATTAAACAGGCAAGACTTCTGAAGTTGAACCTAACATCACCTTTCAATGGAGCTCTCCATATGAAGTTCAATTTTAGTGCAAGTGTGGGAGGCTGAAAACCAAATATAAACTTATCAGAGAAATACCAAAAAACTCTAGGAATGTTCAAAACCAACATTCATCCAGGACGCACCAGCTGAACAACACCAAGAGGCCCGAAACACTACAGAAGAAGCAACTCTGTTCATCTTGATGTAGAGTTTTCACTCATACAAGTGACTTCTTTGTTTTCATCTGACTGCAGATTTCCCCAACCTTATAAACAGTACATTTGCATAATAACTGATACTCGCACCACTGGCGTACAACGGGCTATGACAAAAAAAATACACCAGTAACAAACACCATATCCAGAGACCACCCCACTGAACCATGTTTGGGGCAGGGTTGGCCAGGATTCACACAAACTGCCCATCAGGATAAATATTTTTTCCCTAACCGATCTTGCACTCTGTTCTGCTCTCAGGTTTGGAGATATCTCTCTACAAGAAAGAATAAACCAGAAGAACTTTGAGACATTAGAAGCCTATTACAAATCATTAAGTGAAAAGGTGCCACTAGAATGTAAGTGCACAACTTTAAAATAATTTTTACTAAAGAAACATCTTCATCTTTGGTCTCATGTGTTTATGTGCAGAAAACAGTATTAACATATTTTTTTGTGTGGGTGAATAATGTGTACTATAATCCCATTAGAATGGTTCACACCTTTTATAAAGCAACCGTGAATTTTAACATGTAGAACATTTCTGTGAAAGAAATATCCACACCTGATCTACAGCCTGAAGCTTGTCTTCATTAACCTCTGTTTTTGTTTTGTGCAAACAGGTCTACCGTGTTTTCAGACACAGACCGACATAAAGGAATTACTTGAAACTTTGGGCCAGAATGTAGTCGCGAAGAAGAAAAAGAATGTGGAGATACTGTGGACTGCTGGAACGGTGAGGCTTCTACTGTTGTTACTGTCTGGATGGTAATTACTTTGAAGGGAACAATATTGTATTTTTTATATATTCATGTTGTTTTCTTTGTTCTTTTTAAGCATACTTTAAGTTTGTAGCAGGCTTTTATAGAGAAACATAGTTTTAAACAGCTCAATATGGCATTATTATCACTTCAGATCAGATTCTTCAGATAAATCTATTGACCTTGAGGGAGAGGTCAGAGGTCAAATGTGACATGATACTTTAAATCTGTTTAAACACTCTCAAAGTTCAAACCTTCATAGAAAAATAAGTCCAGTATAATAGAATAAAACCAAAGGTGCCCACGGGTGCCATAGATGGTGCAAAACATTTTGTCAACATTGTTGTTTGTTGGGGAGAAAACTTACAAACATACAGTACAGTCACACTGCTAAGCGATCAGATTTATGTAAATTTGACAAGCTGAACGCATTGTGTACTGTGCAGGAGACATGGCGCGAGATTGATTGACAATGGTCTACAGCCAATCAGGACGCAGAACACAATTCGCTCTTATAGGACAAAAAAAAGAAAACAAACCTCGAAACTGCGAAAGGTGAACTGCGTTCTAGCGAGGGACCACTGTATGTATTCGATTTGTTGGCAGTACACACTACACTTGTAAGAATCGTATTTAATGAAGTTATAAGACTTTTGGTCCATTTTGGTTTTTAAAAGATGAAGTTGAATTTGAAGACCTCATGGATGAAAACTAAATTTTAATGGACTGTTAACAGAAACTCAGTCTACATCCCTACAACGTTTTATCAAAATTCATTCAAAACTTTTGAAAGAATGATAACACACACGCACGTGAACATTACCTGAATCATCCTTGGCAGAGGTAAAAGTAAAACACACCTCAACTAATAATGAGTAACTTGAAACTACAAAGGCAAATGAGGAGTAATGCCAGGGCAGATGGAAATGAGCGAAAGCTCCTTCTCGAGCTTTTATGCGTGCAAGTGAGCCTTCTGCAGGTAATCAATACTAGGGATGCATCAGAGTGAAGCAAGGATGACATAAAAATGAAAACACTAATCACGTGGCAGATGTGTGCACGTGTCTACGTCAGGATATGTAAAACGAGATGAGTCACTTCACAACATTTTGCCTTCATGATGTATGCCAAACCGATGGTGATGTTGGTTTTTTTTTTTTCCCTCATCCACTTTCCACCAGATCTGCCGAAGGTTAAATGGCATCAGGTTTACTAGCTGTAAAAGTGCCAAAGACCGAACATCCATGTCTGTCACTCTAGAGCAGTGCGCTCTCTTACGTGATGAACACCAGCTCAGCAAGGACTTCTTCGTGCGCGCTCTGGACTGCATGCGCAGGTAAGACAGTATTAAAGGAGGCATCAGAAGCCAGTCCTAAACAGACTGCACTTAAAAAGTTAGTCATAAATGCGGATTTTTTGCTCAACGAAAAATATCTTGGTGATCAGAAATTTCTGCCGTCGTCTCCTCTCTTCAAGTGAAGTTACTTTCAGGATCTTGTTGGTTTATGTATTCAGAGTATACATGCGAGGCTGTTTTTACTGAAACTCAAATTCTAAAAAGCTTACTAGATACTATTACAGGCAAGTTAGAAAAATATCAATTTTCCAATGTTTTCGTTACCACACTCTTAATCTTGCTACATTTAGCAGTAGAATGGAATAAGCCTGAAGTAGGCTTGTCATTACAAGCATGTATTACAAGTAATAACCTGCATCCACACCACCCATCACACACATCAAAGGCATTTTATCTGCAACTTTTCCTCCCAGCCCATCACCATTACATGATCAACATTCCCTTCCCTCCACCATCATCACCATTCTTCACACATTCAGAGGCAGCAATGCATGTTCCTGTTAGTCCTGTAGTTTAGTGTTTGTGTGTTTGCCAGCAGGGAAACATTCACATCTGCCTAAATCTCATGAGGTTTAACTGCATAACTTTGGCAAGGGCACTGGTGAAATGCACATCTGAAATGTCCGTGGGACTGACCTGTATGGGACAGCTGATGGCAGGTGATGGAATGAAGACAGAAACTCTTAACGACACAAACACAGCTTTAATACAATTATACAATTATACAAGAACATTTAGTAATAAGTAACATTTTAACTGATGGGATGGTTTACAGTGTGCAATCAGGACAAAAAGGTTCTTCCTAAAACTGCAAATGAACAGAAACAATGTAAAGCTGTGAACCAAAACAGTACCAAATTATATTCAGTGAGAACTCCAGTTAATTAAGCTTGTGACTGCAGAGATGTATAAACTGTGAGGGGAACATTTTAAAGATAAAGTTTCTGTCTTGGGTAGGCCAGGGCTATTCTTGTGATATTTGAAAGATTTGCACACATGCCATACGGCTGCTTTACTGTAGGAAGAAAAGGAATAGTCAGTATAGTGAATTTTACAGTGAAAGGACCATGATGGATATCTAAAATGATAAAACGTCAGTCAAGCCCGTAATGCAACTAAATGCATTGACATGTTGCAGATATAAGTGCAGACTGACTCCAATTGATTGCAGCTTGTTCGCAATCTGTCTGCATGTATGAATTAGACAGCAAATATTTGCAAATCTTCAGAAATCTGTTTACAAGTGCAGTCAGTCCGAGTGAGATTGTGACTGGTTGACGACATGTTTCCTGTCCCTCTCCCCATCTGTGCAGTTGTTTTTTTAACTGAAAGTGGTTCCAAAATTATTTGCAATCAGACGCCAAAAGCAAAAGAATTCAGCAAACAAAGGACATTTTAATGAATTTATGGAAAAAAGCAAAAAGTGTTGCAGATAGGTTGCAGAATATACTCGCCAGAGTTCACAAGGGTACAATAAATCTTTCAAAGAAGGGAAAAGGAGATGGGAGGTACTGGAGACAAAAGTTCAAAGACACAGAAGGACAACAGGATGATCTGACCGACTGGAATATCTGGCACAAGTGAAAAGATATGAGGTGGGGCAGAAAGGAGAAAAATGAAAACAAAGGTCCTCGCTCGTCTAAGTAGTTCCACTATTTGCTAAACCTATTTTAAATGCTGCTGACAGTGATGCTAATCTGTCCTAAGCCTGATGTGAATGATTTCACAGAAAGGAAATCAGCTATGTGAAAAAACAAGTCTCATGTTTCAAACTGCTGCTATAAAAAAGATTGTTTACTTAGGACCGTATTCATACTTCACTCAGGCCATTTCTTCATGGCTTACACTGCAGTGTTTTTCATGGCATGGTTCTCACACTTTTACTCCACCTGTCACTGTCTACTTGTCTGTGGCTGCTATTCTGCATTCAGGCTGTACTAATACCTCTGGGTCTAAGTGGGCCTTGTGCTACTAGCCCTGTCAGGTCTCTTTATCAACTGACCTTTCCTAGAAAGCCTACTTAGACAGCATCTATACTGGACTAACACTAGTGTTTTCACACTCTGTCTCTGTTCGTTCTGTTTTCATTCTGATGGGCACTCCTGCAGTCGACTGACCCAGGGAGACATTGGGCAGTGGGAGGACCCTGAGGCTGGCGCCATGACAGAGAACAAACCAGCATCACGACACTTTTATCCCATTGCCCTGCTGCTCGTTAGCTCCCACTTACTGGTTGTGTGGCTCATTTTAAGTCTTGTTTTTCTGCTTGCAAAATATCAATAAACTGTTGACAATGACATCTCTACTCACTGCTTTTCTTCCTGTGTTCACTAGTTCTTCTTTTCAGTAGGGGTACTGCGGATTAACGGGTAATAAGCAAATAAAATAAATGTCAAACTCAGGCTGTAGGGCATTAACGTCAGATGTTTTTATCTGACAAGAAAACGCCTTCCTGAGAGTTACATTAAGATCACACTAACTGCCAAAAGTATGATTATGAGACTGTTTCCCATGGCTCAAACCAGACTCCTTGTTTTTTTTTTTTAATCAACAGCAAGAATGCACAAGTCCATCCGTCAGTGTACTCTCTGACTACTCATGGTCATGAAAGGACATGTTACTTTCAGCAATGTGTTTTTGACTATATTTTTTTTTACACGTATGGCACAAATGTGGCGTAAGCACACATTTGTGCACACTCCCTTCTTTCCCAATCTCGTCTTTTCATTTGAAACGCTGTGGGGGTGAGGGCAGATTGAGCAAATCTCGAAAGCTAGATAACTTATTGAAATGCCAAATCATTTATTTTAGGAAAAGCAAATCTTTTTAGCAACATGTTACTGAAACATGCTGGCGATGTCAAACTTTGTATCGGCACATTATTTTTTGTTGTTTTTGTTTTTTTACAATTTACATTTTATATGTTTTCTGTATCAGCTGTTTGCCACAGTGGCTCAACTTATATATTTACTAAAACACGATATTATTTATCAGATCCAAGCATTTCATGCTATAAAAGCTAAACTGCCATCAAAGTAACTACTGAATGCCAGCTATAATATTTAATACAGCCACAGATGTACATCTGTTTGTGTTCTGCTTATTTCTATTGGAGTCTGTCCTGGGCCCACCTAATGATGCGCGTCTTCACCGGTACATTACTTCTTCTTTTGTTAATTTATGTTTTCCGTCTTTTTTGAGTGTTTTAATAATAACTTTCCATTTGATTTATTTCATACACAGCAGATTTTGAATACACAGACTAATCTTTTTTTCCTTGTCTTTTTAACTCTAACTAAAATATCATCAGTGACAATGTCTCGACGCATTTGTTTTGTTGAGTCATTGTCTATATACACATATAGTATATATTTACAAGGTTTCAGCATTGAGGTTGGTTTTGTATGGCCCTGGTCTTCTCCTGGGACTCGTGACAGTTTCAGAGTTAGACATACAAAGTGACCCTTGTGTGCATGGTCTGAGAGAAGAAAGAGAGAGAGGCTGTGCTGCTGCTGCTTTTACAAATCAACGTGATAGATTTTTGGATATTTCTCGCTCTTGTCCTGATCATCTGTATAGCTTCGTCATGAGTAATGAATTTGTTTTTTGATTCGGCCTACATGAGACAATAGACGTGTGACAGAGCGTGAGAGGTGTGTTTGAGTCTCTGGCTCAGTGTGTCAGAGATTGACAGCAGCCCTAACTTGAGACAATAAATATTTTAGAAGCACTTACTGACTCACCAACCTGAGTTTACATCTGTGTGGCCCGTATTTACGTACTGTTGTAAATGACTTGTTGGCCTGTGATCTGTGAAACATATCTCAAATATATCTGCATGTGAAGTCATTTTGATGCACAAGCAACATTCCTGTCACAAGGTAGAATTAACTTTTTTAGAAAGCTTCTTACACCCATTGTTGAAGCGCTTAGCAGGTTAGCAGCCACCAATTTGTTCATCTGAGCTGAATGGAGCTCACTCAGTGGTTTACAGCTGCTGACAAACAGACACTTTTCCTTTAATAAACATTTGACTTATTTTTATTCTGGAGATCTGAGGCTAAGGAAAAAACATCTGGGGCTAGACAGCGAGGGCATTAGGCTGATTTCAGATTTTTCTTCACATTTTACAAAGACCACCAATATTACTATAAACAGTGTTTGTAGCTTTTAGAAGCTATACGTTACTATATGAACTAAAGCAGGGATGTCAAACACAAGGCCTGGAGGCCAGACTCCAATGGACAGCTTTGGAAAATGCGAAGGAGAACAGAAATTGACACACACACACACACACGGCACCATAGAAACTTATGTTATTCTTGTGTGTGATGACATAACTAGGGATGGGTATCGTTTAGGTTTTATCCGATACCAGTACCAAACCGGTACTTTTTAAACGGTGCCGGTGCTTAAACGGTGCTTGAACAGGTGCTTAAATAATGGAGAACACAAAATTGGTCCAAAAACCTCTCATGTTCAGCTGGTTTTTTGGAAAAAGATAACAATGTCAGCCTTTTCTGCAGCTATAGGGGATTTATGGCATCACTCTTGGATGGAAGCAGTGCTTAAACAATGGAAAAAACACAAACTTTGTCCAAAAACCTCTCATGTTTAGCTGTTTTCCACTTTTTCTTTGGTCATTTTAGCCTTTTTGGCCAGGGTGAAGGGAGCATCTGCCATCAAACAAGAAGATAGCCGCATGTAGCTATGATGATGTTTGCTAGTTCACCTTATGTGCATTAATGTAATAACGTGATTAGCCTACTCAACGTAAATTACACACGAACAACATTAAGCTACTCACGCAGAGAAGCACGGCTGCTGCTGCCATCATCATCCGTCATCATTTCTGCTACACTGGCAGGGCTAGGGGCCAGGACTCTCCTCTACGGGTTTTTGGGGGATGTTGCTAACTCCGGGTCCGATAACAGGCACCACACCCGCAGTAGATGTGCTCGGTGTGAGGTCTCGCAGCAAGCTATCAAATACGGCGCATTTCTCGGCTTTAACAAAATGCTATACGTCATCATATTCGAGGAGTTACCTCCTTTGACAGTATCACAGTATCAGCTTAAAGCACTTGTTGCAGGCTGCTGAGTTTGCATCTTTTGCTGTGAAGTACAGCCAGACTTTGACCGCTTCGCCTTGGGCATTTTTAATCTGTAGCTCTGCTCTAAAAGAACGTACATACCTGGGCCCGCCTACTACGCTTGCAAAGGTAAAATGATTGCCCAGAATCCGAAGTGTATGACATCTCAGGGAAAAAAAAGCACCGAAATAAAGCACCAAAATCTGCGCTGCTTTTCGGTCTGGTTACTACCGTTTATGTCAGAACCGGATACAGGTACCCATCCCTAGTCATAACACACAAGAATAACAGATGGAACATTTTTTAAACATTAGAAACTCTTTTAAATATACAGACATATTAATCAAACAACAAAAACAAACAAAAATTTTTTTGAAAGATCTCTGGCATTTGTACAGTCTAAATAAACTGAAGACAGATGTCTTTGATAGCGTTTCTGTATATGTGGTGCACTGTTTGTGGGGCTGTGTGTTTTTGTTTCATCTACTGACATGTATTGTCTGCAGTGCATTGAGCTCTTCCTAACCCTGTGGGCATTTCTTAAGTAGTCATACTGTATATATATTGAAATACATACCTCTGCACACATACGAGTTGAAATCAAATCAAATCAAATCAAATCACTTTTATTGTCACATCACATGTGCAGGCACACTGGCACAGCACATGCGAGTGAAATTCTTGTGTGCGAGCCCCACAAGCAACAGAGATGTGCAAACACAACAACACAAACGAGCAAAATACAAGAATGGCCAACCTGAAACTAATAAATATATGTACAATATATAATAGTGTATGCATTTCTGGATGTGTATACTAAATATTTTCCTACGTGTGTGTGTGTGGTGTGTGTGTGTATGCACATTTTTACAAATTAAATAGTTAAAAAAAAAATTAAAAAAAATAAATAAATAATAATAAATAATAATAATAATAATAATAGTAATAATAAAATATATAAAATATACAGAGTTGAATATGTGCAAAACAAGTGGCATTTATATACAGTGTGGAGTGCATAATGTTGAAGTTCCAGTAGTGAAGCTGAGGTGTCTATGACGTGTTCAGCAGTCTGATGGCCTGATGGAAAAAGCTGTCTCTCAGTCTGCTGGTACGGAACCAGATGCTGCAGAACCTCCTTCCTGATGGAAGCAGTCTGAACAGTTTATGGCTGGGGTGACTGGAGTCCTTGATGATCCTCCCCGCTTTCCTCAGGCACCGCTTCCTGTAGATGTCTTGGAGGGAGGGAAGCTCACCTCCAATTATCCGTTCAGAGCACCGCACTACTCGCTGGAGAGCTTTGCAGTTGTAGGCGGTGCTGTTGCCATACCAGGTGGTGATGCATCCAGTGAGGATGCTCTCAATGGCACAGTGATAGAAGGTCCTGAGGATGCGGGGGCTCATGCCGAAATCATAACTGGGCGTAGCTCATGTTCCCACAGCTTCTCATGCACACATTTTTTTGTGCTTGCGGGACTGCAAGAATAAAAAATAAACCTTTTTCCAGATGTCTACATATGAGATGTACGGTTCATTGACCATTGACTCCTGAACTGTCGAGGTTCTTATTATTTTACTTAGAGAACTGTTTTTTATTGTGTTTTGTTTTTTTGTTTTTTTGTTTTTTTTTGGGGGGGGGTACTGGTAATTGATATCATAAGCCGTCATTCTCAAAGATCAGACAGTTGCCTTGCTTGCAGCGTTACTCTGTGCTTCTCTAGAAGTTGTGTAACTACTTGAACTAGGGGAGGCTAGCACAGTCCCAAAAGCTGTCCTCCAACGTGCCACAGACAGTGTCCTGCTTTTGGGTCTACTTTTTTCTGACTTGTGTCTAATTTGGAATGGAACAAAATGTTTATAACTCACTGAAGGCAATGGGAGACTGGCGTAGATGGAAACTGTGCATAAGGTTAAGGCTGGCCAAGTGTTCCACAGTTTGAGTATAGCAGAGACAGAGACAAACAGACATCAGAGTTTGTGTGTGGATCTGTGGAGTGGATGTGATGTACTGCGGAGCTTCAGATGGGAGGATTGAACACAGAACAGTTGATTTAAATGAGAAGGTAGCTCCACATGGGTCAAACGGTCATAGATCTGTTTGGTTAAGAGTCCTGCTGTTCTGTTAAAAATACATGTTTTTAATGGTTTATCTAGACCGCTGGGAAACTTGCCTTCTCCTTTTAGCATTACCCCGGTCAGACTCAA